TCAAACATGATTTCCTTCTCCTCTTTGCTTAGAGTGTAGCTAGCGGGACGTAAGTAATGGCGTCCATCATCTCATCTTCTCCGGATGCAAGGTTGTCTCTTTCTCTCAAACAACGCAGTCCCTGTCGTGCTTCAAATGTGTCCTTAGGCTTTCCATACACACCCATAAAGCCTAGCAGGTTCACACAAAGATTCTTCGTCAGTGCATCACGTCAATCGAGCTCACGGACCTCCAGGACTTGCCAATAGGGTAGGTCCCAAAATATGGACTTCTTCTTCCACATGGGTGCGTGACTGCGTTAGCATCTTTTGGAATAGGTTGGCTTCCATGTCCTTTTCCAAAGACGACTTTCACATCATTGACCATATCGAGTAAATCCTCTTTGGTTCGGTTGCGAGGCTTGGTCGGGTGGTCCGCCTTCCCTTTAAAATGCTTGCTTTTCTTTCTTACGGGTGATTTGCGGGAAGAAATCGGACGATGGCCAAGGTACACGACCTTTCGACATTTTTTCAAGAATACACCTCTAATATCACCAAGCAAAGTGTGTGCATGCATTATATCCCTTGTTTGGTCTGTCTCCGAAAAGATTACTTAGAGCAGGCCAATCATTGATTGTTACGAACAACAATGCTCGCATGAGATCAAAGTGTTCTGTTTGTACTCATCCCACACACGTACACCTTCTTTATTCCACAAAATGAGAAGTTCATCAATAAGTGGTCTCGGTACACATCGATGTCAATGCCAAGGTTGCTTCGGGCCTTGGATGAGCATAGGCATCATAATGAACTTCCGCTTCATGCATAACCAAGGAGGAATGTTGTAGATACTTAGAGTAATAGGCCAAGTGCTATGACTCTTTGTTACGCTCTCCAAAAGGATTGATACCATCGCACTTAAAGCAAACCTTAAGTTTCTTGCGTCATTTGCAAACTCCGGGAATTTCTCGTCGATTGCTCTCCTTTGGGACCCATCGGTGAGGGTGTCTCAACATATTGTCTACCTTACGGTCTTCTTTGTGCCATCGCAACAATTTTGCATGTTACGTGTTTTACGAACAGACGTTTCAAGCGTGGTATTATAGGAGCATACCACATAACCTTGGTAGGATTTTCTTCCCATGGACGTTCGCCCTCAACATCACAGGGTCATCTCGCTTTGATCTTATACACACGACGCATGGCATACCGGGCATGCATCCAATTTCTCGTACTCTTTGCCGCAGTGCAGGGATGCGATCATTAGGACATGCATGTATCTTCTCTATTTCTAGCCCCATAGGATGGACAACTTGTTTTGCTTCGTAGTAGGTAGTGGCGGGCAATTCATTGTCCTTCGGAAGCATCTTCTTTTGAATTTTTAGTAACTCTCCAAATCCCTTGTCAGATACACCATTCTTTGCCTTCCATTGCAGCAATTCTAGTGTGGTTCTCAACTTTTTTTACGCCTCTGCATCACAAGTTAGGTACAACAATTTCTTGTGATCTTCTAGCATCCGCTTTCGAACTTGATCTTCTCCTTTTCACTTTCACATTCTCTTTGTGCGTCACGAATGACTGAGAAAGATCATCACCGGCTCATCTTCTGCGGCTACCTCTTCTTCACTTCTCCCATTGCGAGTATCATTGAAGCACGCACCATCGGGAATAATATCATTGTCGTCCCATTGTTCTTCTTCACCTTCTTCCATTACAACACCGGTTTCTCCGTGCTTTGTCCAACAAATATAGTTTGGCATGAAACCCGACTTGAACAAGTGTGAATGAAGAGTCCTTGAGCAAGGATATTCCACCATATTCTTACATATGGCACATGGGCAACACATGAAACCATCGCGTTGTTTGCCCTCGGCCAGACGTAACAAAAGAATGCACGCCGTCAATGAACTCTTGGGAGCGGGCGATCAACATTATACATCCAATGACGGCTCATCGCATTACATGACATAAATACCATATTAAAACCTAGATCATAATTAATTATTTATACAACATGCGTGCCACCACAAAAGATACAAATTTATGAAAGCATCGCTACAATGTAGACAATCCCAACTACCACTAAAAGAACTAAAGCTAAAATACATTTCGAGAGTGAGGATTTCACGACCAATCTCAACTAAAGCAGCATGCAGATCCCCGATTGTGCAACATCTTTGGGCTTCTTTGGCTGGATCCTTTGCCTCATTAGCCGTCGTATCTCTTCGATGTGCAAGATATTTTGCACGAGTTCAACATACTCTTCCTCCCAAAGAGAAGCCTGAACATCGCCCTTCGCCATCCCATGAAATTAAAACAAAAATTAGAACTTTAATCACAACCATCATGAAAATAGGTATAAACTAACCATAATCATTAAATACGATAAAATAACTCACATTGCGATCCGGACACTTGTAGAAGATACGATCCTTGTTGGGACCCTCCTTCTTCACTCGGTACTCCATCACAATCTTCGTCTCATCACGACACTTGCCGCATGGAATGAGAGGAGGCCCGGCCTAAGTCGCTTTGGAAACCCATGAGAGGCCGAGGACCCGGAAGCGATTGCCATCTACTCTCTATACTCATTTTTAATACACTATAAATTTCTTCTTTTATAAACAAATAAAATTAAGAAACTATAAAATTATCTAGATCTCTAAACAATGATATTTTTAATGGTCATTGTGTTCTCGTCTTCTTTACTTGCGGCGGGGTAAGTAATTCACATGATATTTACAGTAAATTAACGAGAAGAATGGGAGTGTACACACATAATGAGACTCTTTGCTGCGATATCGGGACGTGTGAATAAATAACCATCCATACTAGTTGACCTTGCTTACGTGATCATCTCGTGAGCATTTCTCCTTTGGGCGGCACACGTACTTGGCCACGGAAGAGCTCCAATTCTACGAGGAAGGGAACACGATCTTCCACGACCGTTGCCGCTCTCCTCAGAGAATCAAAGCTCCTCCTTGACGTCCGTTACCGCTTCGGCGGAGAGAAGCGTGCTCGCCGAGATGAACACGGTCCGCAAGTTCAACTAGTATGGATTTTCTATAATTTTCTAACTATTTTCTAAGTTTATATTTATATATATACTACGTTTGGGTACGGTGATTGATGACTACTGCCGGCGATATCGGGACATGTGAATAAATAACCATCCGTACTAGTTGACCTTTGCTTACGTGATCATCTCGTGAGCATTTCTCCACAGGACGGCACCGTGCTTGACCACGGAAGAGCTCCAATTCTACGAGGAAGGAACACGGTCTTCCACGACCGTTGCCGCTCTCCCTCGTAGAATCAAAGCTTCTCCTTGACGTCCGTTACCGCTTTCGTGGGAGAACGTGCTTTCGCCGAGATGAACACGGTCCATAAGTTCAACTAGCTACTTTAACCTTATTTCATGTAAATATGCAAGCTTGAAGTGATTTTGAGCTCAAATTGCTTACAAATGAAAAAAAAACCAAAATAAAGAACCATATATATATATAGTGAACAAAATAAGATAAGACAATAGTGAAAAATGAGAGTATGAGATTGGTAACCTTTACAACTGAAGAATCGACGGAGGAATCGAAGAAATCGATGGAGGAATCGAATAATGGATGGAGGAACAATGGAGGGAGGGAGGAAGCAAGAACACTAGTGCAGTGAGCTTCAAAATATGCTGAGCTCGGGCTCGGGGAGGAAGAAGGAGACAGCCGGGATATAAAGGGGGGACCTTTAGTCCCGGCTGGTGGCTCCAACCGGGACTAAAAGTAATTTTCCAACCCCGGGCGCAGCCACGGCCCGGGAGTAGACCTTTACTCTCGGTTGGAGCCCCCAACCGGGAGTAAAAATATACCTTTAGTCCCGGTTGGTGGCTCCAACCGGGACTAAAGGTCCCTGCCACCCTCTGGCCTTGATAAGAGTTAGGGCAGGGACCTTTAGTCCCGGTTGGAGACACCAACCGGGACTAAAGGTATTTCTAATCCCGGGCGCAAAAAATTCTGGGACTAGAGCCCATTTTGACCGAGGATCAAAGGCCTGTTCTCTACTAGTGAGGGTTGTGTCGTACGGACGCAACCTTTGCCCAAAGGACATGTCCCTTTGGTGACGGTGTTAACCGCTAATCTACTACTAATCCTAACTGTCCGTAAGAACATCGTACGGTCGGATGAGATCACTAGTGGAGAGGAGTCTGTTGGTGTGCAGGTGCCTGCTCACCCGGAGACACCATTTCACAACAGTTTCCATGTCCTCCGCATCCCCATCCGTCCACTCGTACAAGGGGAGTTGCGGTTCCATTGCTGGTTTCTCTTGACTTTTAATGAACAACGTTACATATGTATACCCATCTAAGGGGAGTTGTGCTGCTTGTTCGGGAAGGGGACATCCCTTCTCAAAAGGTCCAGGTAATGCTAACTGATCACTTATTTATATGTTTCTAAAAAATATCTTTTAGTCCACAAACTACATCGATGAGATATTTCATAAGAAATCAAGCAAATAAATAATATAGAACCGTCTGGTGCATATATATGTTATGATAAGTTTATTAGTCTATTATAAGGGCAATGCATATTACACAATTTTAAGATTTAGTACCCACTAAAATACTATAAATGAAGTTTCTTGTCTCCTTATATTGATCACACTTAGCTTTGTATAAATTAGGAATGGTACTAACTCACCAAAGTTATAAAAATTCACAATAGGAATGGTACAATTAAGAAATCTAAAATATAAACATATAGAAATTTAGGGCTGTTAGACTATAATATTATTACGAATTAAGTATTATATGATTGTCATCCATAAATAATAATTGGACATGATAACGAAATGGACCACAACCACAATTACATATAGCATTTGACACTGAATATTATACAATATCAGAAAACACGGAATTATAGAACAAATAAAACATTATTAAGTTTTCCAAAGCATCCACATCCTTCCATCTAATCAAACTTAGAACACTGCCACCCTTGTAGCCACAAAGTGCTTTATTTGCATTAAATTTCAATTCATTGTAGCCAGACGATAGATGAACACATTGAAGGCTTGGTCTGTGTCAACCATACTAACCCTGACAACCCTCCCATCCACTCCAAACTTTGTGCCACCTCGAGTGATTATCTTTTTCAGGCGTAGAAAGCCCTCCAAATCTTCAATATCATCCTTCTTGCAGTGAAGCCATGCAAATGCTGACCAAGGAAAAAAATGGTACCTAATGTTAGACAAAAGTATAAAAAACAATAATTCAACTAATAGATATAAGAATGAAAATTTAGAAAGTGTGATTTCTTACGAGGATTGGCGGTGATGGTCTCCATGGAGAAACTACAATAGCCAGATAGCTCATTTGGGAGAGCAAAGATGTCTGAGGCCGCCACAGCTGCACGAAGTCTAATCCAACGTTCCGCCATTTTTTCCTTAGCAAAATGGAAGAGGTGGCTTGTTTTACCAGCGGATGATAGCTCATAGCTGTTACAGACTGCCCCAATAATCTTAGCGGCACGAAGTTGAGAGTCCTTGGATACACCAATTGTGTTGAGCTCTATAAACTTAATCATTTTCTGGGCCACCTCAGTATCCTTCACCAGTGCCCACCTACAACCATCCATGCAACAAAACCGTACTTTATATTTCGTAACTACACATTTGGTTAATATAGAAAATTATGTCATATATACCAATATTGATGTAGAAAATTTTGAGCATGAGATTAACAATTGATCAAGAAATGGTTACCCCAGTCTAGTGCCGGCATGGCCAGTGCATTTGGAGACAGTGAATAACATGATATCATGGTCAGCTGCCTCGGTGATGGGTGTGTACTGTGGCCAGTAGTAGGCGAAGTCATAAACAGCCTTGCTATACTTGGATTTGACGACAGCTCTTCGGATGCCACCATCAGGGTTGTTTGGCGAGCAGATGAGCTCAATACAGGTGTCACCATCGAATGTATTGGCATCACCACCCCAACGGTAAAGCCCAGAGTTCAGAAAGTTCGTCACAGATGGGTAAGACTGCGCATGTTCAAAATCAGCCAGATTATATAAATCAATCAATAATAAACAAGAACATAACAATGTGTTGTAGAAATTGAAATAGGTGCCTTTTTTTGAGATAATGCAATTTCAATTCCTTAAACTAACTAAACCACAATTTCAGCATTGATGTATGAATTCTTGATCTATTCTTACCGAGTAGTAAGGTGCCGGTGATACGACGTTCATGGGCGTGCCATCGCTTGCAGGTGAGAGCGCGTACAGCACGGCCTGGAAGAGCTGCGTGGATCCGGTCCCGACGAGCACATGGTACCCGTCAACCATGGCATTTCCCACGAGCCGGTGGAGACGCCGCACCTCGCGCTCGAAGCCAGGCTCCACGAACCAACAGATGCCGCCGAGGTCGGAGAAGTAGCTCATTGTTTGCCAACCTGGGATGAAGATGGAGGCGCTATCTCCTATCCCGCGCCAGAACTCCTCGTACATCGTCGGGTCGCCACTGCAACAACCAAAGACAAAGAAGTTAAACGCATGTGTGTACAGTGACATGCATGGACGATGCATGGAGATGGATTCGCAAGTACATCGTGCATGGATTTTTACATGGCCTAGGAGGAAATCAAATTAAGGTATAGTGAAGTTCTTAGCATATAGACAACAGACAACAAAGTAAGATTCAGATTAAAAAAGTCTGTACTGTTCTTGTGAAACAGTATGTGTTTTTTTCAATCCATCTCTACTTTCACTCTGTTTACTATTTCCTAAATTCAACCAAACAATTAAATAAATAGAAGAAAAGCAGATGAACAGACAAAATAAACAAATGCTACTATCAGCAATTAATCAGCAGGCAAAGTAAACAAATACTACTAATCAACAATTAATCAGGCAAAATAAACAATACCTAATCAGCAATTAACCAGGCAAAATAAACAAATACTACTGGTCAACAATTAATCAGGCAACCAGGTACACATGTCCTTGCCAGATGGAGAGGGCCAGAGGAGCCCTTCACGGACGATGTATATGTGTTCCAGACTCCAGCTGCCTCACAGTGAAACAGCATGGCTGGGGGCTGGGGCTGGCTCCCCAAATTGGAACGGAGCGATTTGCACACCGCAGGGCATAATACATTGGCTGGCTAAATATGTCCCAAACAATCAGGCCATGATAACTACAGTTTGCTAAGCCCTTATATGACTATCGTCTTCCTCATGCGAATCGTTTTTTTCAGCAACAGCAACGCTAAGCCCTAAAAAAATAACAACAGCATCAACGCTGTTCATCCGTGCGAACTGCGGCGCCGGACGGTGACGGACGCCTGGGCACTAGTGATCAATGGACGGGCAATACGTGGGAGAGCGACGAATACGAATACGAATAAATAAACACAGAAGCAGGTAACGAGATCTTGCGATGGATCGGATGATCACTCACTGGTCGAGGTTTACTATGGAGTCCTCAGTGACCGGTGGTTTTCCTTTCGACGGCTCCACCGTGGTGACGCCGCCGTTGTTGTCAGATCGGCTGCCGCCGCCGAAGTAGCGGCGTCGGATGTACATCGCTATCCAAGCAAGGTTCATGGCGACTGAGGCCACGACCCCGATCCTTCCGGCGCACCGCACGGCCGCTATCCCACCGGTGCCCCTAGTCGCCATCTCCGGCCCCCTCCTCTCTGAGCGCACTGCAGCGACGGAAACAAAAGGTAAGGAACGCGAGGCGAGTGAGAGCGCTGTGTCTGTGTGTGTATCCCTCCGCCGGGGGACCTGCCGGTTTTATAGCGGACGTGGGCGAGCCCCGCACGGCGTCTTGCCACGCAGGCCCGTAGCGTCTCGACCAGCAACGGCAGCGAGAAAGAAAGCCGGGATCCCCGCGTAACGGACGGCGAGGACGGGGATACGTGTGGCGGAGGCCTCTGGGTTGTTAGAGGTCGCCGGCGTGGAGCGGCGCGGAAGGACGTGGACTGGATCGCGGGCACTGGGGGAAGGAGGATGCGGCTGCTGAGGAGGGCGGCGCGCGTGAGGGTTTATGGATGCATGTATATGTGAGTGCGGTGTGATCAGCGGCGGCCCTAAAAGGAAGGGAAAGCATCTATGTAACTGATCGACCGCGTCGCCGGCCGCGCTACCAGGGCGCGGTGGTTGACTGGTTGTTACGTGGATTGGATCGGTGCTGGCCTGGCCGGCTGGCCGGGACGACGCATGCGCAGCCAGCCTCTGGGTGGGGAGAAGGCGGGCGTCGCGTGCTTGCATGGAGATGGTGGCGTGGACGGGACCGTGGAGGCTGGCGCGCCACGGCCACCGTGAAGCAAGGGCAGCCTAGCTCATCGGGATGCGAATCTCGTGTTCACACAGTTCAAAACCATGCATGCGTGGGGCTTGTTTGCATATTAACTGCAAATAATCAAGCTGTAACACACTTAATAAAAATGATGTGATGTGCAGCAGCATCGCGCTGTCACCAAAGCTGTAGTGGTTGGTGTAGAGATGGTGACGGGTTTATACACGAGGGTATCACGCTGATCATACACATATTTCAATAGATTTTTTTTTTACACGCGAAAAAACTCGTACCATGTGTTGGAACCATTTTGTGCTTATACCGTGCCTATGCGGATAGAGGATACCCATGGGTTGTCTACACCCGAGAAAAAAAACCTAGCTAACACATGCAGTAAACTATGACGGATGGTTTTAGGCCCTCGGTACACATTGCCATCCCTCTAGCTAGCTTGTGGGTGTACAACGACAAATGAACCTTGCATGTTTTGAATGGTTTTAAATCTCCTGCTATAGCCTCCACTATCTCCGGCTATAGCTGTTTAAGAAGGATTTAGCTAAGTTTTTCTATGTACAAGTTAGCCCTTAGCTGTGGCTATAGCTCGCTATAGCCAGTTATAGCCTGTTTTCAGACATAGAAAGCTAAATGGCTTAGCCGGCTATTTAAAACCTTGATGTTTTCAAGTTGAGAGTTAGAGTTGGATGATTTCGTATGCACACGTGTTGTGAATCCGCGATAGGTGCCCATGGCTACCCTTTGAGGACCATCCTCACCGAATTTTTATCATTTTTTTTTTGCTTCTTCTCTCTTTCAGGCTGGCAAAGAACACTTACATCACCTAGCTTTGGCACTACCGTTGGAGGCACCTAACGCAGTAACTACCTGTCTTAGGGTTTCTTGCTTTTAGTTTATATAAAACAAAATAATGCTTTTGTTTGTCGTTACCGATACATAGCTCTTTTGTAACGTTTATATAGTAATGATTGGTACGGAATGATATAGACACCCCCTCTTAACTTTGGAATTGAGGAAAGTAGAAACTCGACATATCCTTTTGTCGCATTCTAAATATGGTTAGAACATCTTTTCAGAACGACAAATAATGTCACATATTTGTATTTTGTTTGCTTATTACTCTATCTCGACTATTACTAAAGCTAGAAGCGTGATATTACTTTCTTCTTCCTCCGTTGCCTCTATCTTTGTGTCCCATCTGTCTTCCATTTCTTGTTCCACGAAAAAAAGAAAATGTTTGGACGTTTTCGAGTCAAAACCCTCCACCCCTCAAAAGCACTTAAATCTCCCTCGACAGATAGCCATGCTTGTATGGCTAGCAATGGTTCGATGGCGAGGGTGTTAGCTTCAGTAAGCGAGCCCTTATTGGTTAACCCCTAGAGACAAAGATTAATTTCTCCTATGGTATTGGTTGCCAAAATGCAACCACTAGTCCATGTTCGAGCTCCACAAAGGATATATGCTCCCAATCACCAAGCCTTACCCTAGTGATGATGATCGGCAAGCCAAAAAAAAGCTACCGTCAATCAAGACAAGTGCCTTAAGCCATTTAGGCTCACTACTTGCCGCTAGACTCTCCCTAGTCACCAGGGTGCCGTCTACTACCGAACTTCTCCACTATATGGGTATCCTCAAACTCAGCATAGCGAGTTATTGCATTGGCCTTCTATATATACCAAGCTTGGAGGGTTCACATTTGCAGAAGGTCACCAAGACCTCAAGTAAACTATGACTCTATGTGGGGGAATAGACCCCCTATACCCTCATGGGTATACATGGGCCGCACCACCGGAAGTGGCCCAGCCCGTAAGGTGAAGACGTGCGGAGCACGACATTATATTGTAATTGTACCAAATTGGATACTTTACTTGTAACCTTGTCCCTTCGGAAAATATAAGGAGGGGCAAGGGTCCTCTAACGGACAAGATCATACATATCTCACCCCAGATCAATACAAATAACAGAGCACATGACGTGGGGTTTTACACCACACTGGCGGCCTGAACCTGTATAAATTTTGTGTCTTGTGTCTCTGTAACCATCTGGTTCCTGATTACACGCACCGTCTACCGACAATCTACCATCACGGGCACCCCCCTTGGTGGCCTGCCGACCATATTTCGTCAACAGTGGCGCGCCAGGTAGGGGTCCCCTTTAGGGGTCTGTGCGTGCTGATCCCATAGCGAACTGGATGGATCTCAACCTCGACATAATGTTCTCGGCGAAATCAACCTTCATCTTCGGTTTTTGCACGAGAATTTTCTTCACGTAAACGGACACCGGAGCTTGGCGGATCGCGGCGTCGTTCTTCAATCATCTACGAGCGTCGGTGCATCCAACTGCGCCACCACGACGTGATCCCAGCACGACACGGCACTACATCCGTGCAGCGACCAACAGCACCACGTGCAGGCCTATGGATTTCAACAAGACTGCATGCAAAGTGGCGCTGTGCTATCAGATGATACATGCAACCATCGAAGGACGCATGGCCTACAGCCGCATGCACGCAACCTCGCCATCGGCGTCTTCTCCGACTTCGCCGACCCGCCGAGGACTCGGCGACGCTACTATGTGGCGTTCGTACTCCAGGCCGCATCCGCACGGGAGTCCTACTCCAATTCGAATAGGACACAACGTGCAGCAGAAATCTTTATGGAAGCAAATCTGCATGCATGCAAGCAAATAAGGAAGGTGTACGTATACATCTACATGCAGGCCAACTACAGATCGCTGCGGCACTTGCATGTGCACACGCACATATGGCATCAAGCACGCTTCGGCCACGCCCCATCTGCTCCGCCGTACAGCATCGTTTCTCCGACCTCAATGATTTCACCGAATCACCTAAGGCCGATCACTAACATAAGGACGGCGTCGTTCGGACTACTTACTCCGACCACTGAACTGATTGAGCTCCGACCACCTCGACCACCAGACCACGTCGCAATAATGATCGCCACGAAGAACGGCGCTATGACAACCGCGACCACCGTCACAACAGGCCGAAAAGTACGAGGATCGGACAACTTTATCGCTATCGACCAGATTTCTATCCAAAGATAAGTACACTTCTAATATTTATATTTAATATAATTTTCATTACGGCGTTTCTCCACAACATTCTCGTCATGATTATTCTTCAAATAACGTTTGTCCATGTATACCATCTTAAATATAACATACAGCTATACTTAATGCAAATCCTCGACCAGTCATGTTGACGCTCGATGCCTCCAGAGACGGCTCTGTCTCTGGCTCCTCCATACACGTGCACGAGCGTCTGCCCTCTGCGTTATGGGTGGTCGGCAGCGGTTCCTTAGCGACGCCTGTTCCTCCTACACGTGCACGGGCTCCGCGCTCGACGTTATGGACTATGGGCTAGCTAGGGCTGGAGACTCAGCTACACACTAACTGGTTGGGTAGTTTATATTGAGTATAAACACAAACTTCACATTAACACTGATGTTTACAAAGCACCAACTGCTTTATCACATCATGCTCATTTGCAAATGACTGCTGAGCGTCATACGCTATTTCTTCACCGCTGATTTTTTCTCCATAATTTATTAGTTTGTACATCATGTACTACCATTCTACATATTTATATTACAGGAATTTCGAGCTACGCATGGGGACTTCGTCGCTCGCTCCTCGATCTGTGCTCGGGGACTGCCTTGATCACTCTCTGACCACAGCTCGGGGACTTCGTCGCTCGCTCCTCGACCTGTGCTCGGAGACTGCCTCGATCACTCTCTGACTACAGCTTAGGGACTTCGTCGCTTGCTCCTTGACTTGTGCTCAGGGACTGCCTCGACCACTCTCTGACCACAGCTCGGGGACTTCGCCGCTCACCCCTCGACCTGTGATCGGGGACTGCCTCGACCACTCTCCGACCACACACTCGGGGACTTCGCCGCTCGCCCCTCAACCTGTGCTCGGGGACTGCCTCGACAACTCTCCGACCACAGCTCGTGGACTCTGCCGCTCGCCCCTCGACCTGTGTTCGGAGACTGCCTCGACCACTCTCCAACCACAGCTCAGGGACTTTGCGTCTCAACTACATGCGACTGGCGACTCGCATATAGTTGGGATATTCTTTCTTGTTTAGACCTTGCTACAAGCTCATACCTCGCCTTCCAGCAAGCTCGGGGACTACATCGGTATGATGCACCTGCCGGTACATCTTGTATCACCTGTACGATGATTGGATTCTCAACTTAACTAGGAATTCTTTTTAGACCCTGGCACCACGTGCCTATGTCACCTACTACCAGGCTCGGAGACTAAGTGGGCACACTTCACCTTGCGGTGAATGTGCTCGCTCTGATGGTTCAAACACCTCTGATTCTACAAGGACGAC